TTTTATATAAATTTATAATAGTTCGTATCAATCTTTTATCATTTGATTTTTTTTTTTATAAAAATTTTGAACATGTAAATCTATTTTCTATTTTTTAATATAAAGTTGAGTTTTTACCTTCAAATAAAAGCCAAAAGAGGAAAATAACTCAATCTACCGTATTGAATTCAAACACCAATAACTTAATAGTTTTTTAAATTCAAATCAATAATTATCAAAAAATAAAATTTGAGTTGTCGATTAATGATTAATAACTTAAATATTTATACGATGATAAAAAAGAATATATTATAATTATTATTAATTTATATATTGTCAAATATTACATCACAATTACAATCAAAAATTAATATGAAATCATAATAAATAAATAAATAAACCTCACAAAATCTAAGAGTTCTTTAGTGCAAAGTCAATGATTGTGCTCATATATATTCAAGTGTATCTTAATACAATGAAGAACTGAAAATGACTATATTTATATATTAAAAAATTTAAAATGTTGTATAAATAATTTACATGAGATAAGATTGAAAATATCTAAATGTATTGAAACGAAATAGAGCTAATAGTACTATGTATGTTATGTATATATTTTGATGTGACGGGAGTATGGAAAGATAACAATGTGACTAATATGATAAGAAATCAAATATTTCACATAAAATCGTGATTGATATAATGAGGAATTGGTATTTTTTTCTCTTTAAAAGATGTTATTAATTTGAGTCAAACTATATATTTTCATATGTTCTTATCATAATACCTTATTATAATTGATATGTAAGTATCATCTAATTAATAATATGTACGAATTTTCATGTAAAAGTGCACCATGTTAATCATTTATTGATAAAAAAAATAAAAATAATAATCTTAATAAATATTTTAAGGAGAGAATTAGTAAATTAAAGAATTTTTCGTAGATTAAGTAGACTTTGGAACGAATACAGTTTGGGTTATTAATTTTACGAATGCTATTAAACTAATTGTTTATTAAAAAATACTTTTAATTAAAAAAAAAGCTATTTAACATTTGGTAGAATTAATTATAGGAACTGCAATCACTTTAAACAAACAGAAGATAAATATAACTTTTGATATTAACTTTTGATATTTAGAGTATGTATTTTTATTAAAAATCAATCAAATTCATTTTTCAAAAATTACAAATTGTAATTTATGTATATAAACCCATGAACAACATATTTTGTTTTTGTTTTTTGTTTTTTTTTTTCCAAAAGTATATTTCATTTGCTCATTTTATTATAAAAGTACTTTTAGAACTTAAAAGTCAAACCTAAAAACTACCATAAACTAGATCTAAATGACATTTTAGTTTTCTTTTATAGAAAATGAAAAATGTATATATATATATATATATATTGAAGTTGTATTTTGAGTTAAGGTTAAATTTGTGAAGATAGAGATAACATAGCTTATTATGTTTCAGAAAATAATAAATATGGTATTAATTTTCAGAAACATTAAATTTCTAGTCAATTGTACTTGTAAAAATGAAAGCAACTAAAAATCTATCTTACCAACTAAAACAACATTGGGTTTGATTCAAATGAATTATATATATATATTAATTTATTCGTACTATTTATTTAATACGTAAAAAATAATCATAATTTATATTATTTAACGTGAAAAAAAATATTATAAAATTGCTTGATTAAAATTTACATTGAAT